AGAGAGAGAGAGAGAGAGAGAGAGAGAGAGAGAGATTTGTCCACATGGTCAGGTAGTCAAGTCTCTCGTGTACAGGTTCTGTGGTCCCTTTGTTTCCCCCGACCAGCCCGGCCTGGCAGTATTGCCCATGGGCACACTGGTCACTGCTGGCATGTACCAATGACGTCACAGCGGTCAGTGCTGGGGCTGAGGCTTGACCACTGGATGTATGGTCACTTCCTTTGTTGTTGTTTTGTTTTGTTTCAGTTAGGTTTTTATAGCGCTCGCAACTGCATAAGATCTTAATAATGAGCGCCAAGGGGTGAATGTCAACAGAGAAGTCCATACAGGGAATCAGACTTACTTTGCTCACCTCTCTAGCTTCAACAGCACAAAGTCTGCTTCAACTATCAAGGCACCCGGGAAATAGCGGGTCACAAGAGTGTGACAAACATACAAAAGAAGAAGAGGAAAATGACGATAGTAAGGATTAGGAAAGAAAAAGAAGCAGTTCCCCCTATGTTGTTCCGGCACAGTTGTGATGTCGAGGTCTCTGTTGTAGCGCCGCTTGTTGGTTTCGAATATAGAAGCAATGACCTTGCCTCTGCCACTACAGTATCACCATCAACGCCACCCACACAGGCCACCACCCCCACCATTGTCACCACCAACAATGACATTGACTCCACCTCCCCAAAAATTAATAGCCACCACCACTGCCACTGCCACTACCAACAACAACAACAACAACAACAACAACAACAACAACAACAACAACAACAGCAACAACAACAACAAAAACAACAACAACAACAACACCGCGCTTTTTCACTCAATCATAGCTATGAGAGTGCAGGATCTACTGGATTCCTATGGGTTTGGGAAGAGTGGAAAACTCTTGGAATTTTTGGGCCTTGGGAAGTTGGCAAAATTCTTGGACAAATAAATGTTTAACTCGGTCTATTGTAAAAAATATTTCCTCGAAGTTTAGAAGGCCTCGACTTTACGCAGTCTCAAGTGTACCATAATCTATTTCTGCACGCTGAACATGACATACAGATCGAGTTCCGGTTAGCTTTTTGGCGAAGGACGGCATTTCCTCCCCCGGTATGGTATTTCCATACACAGATATTTCTGACCGGAGACGACACAAGGGACCGTACGTCATGCGTCTAACGCTACACTGACGAGACCTGCCCATTGAGCGGTCATCTGATTCCTGTCCGTCTATTCTATTGTTTTCAGTGGCTGTTGAAAAGACAATTGAACTTTTTTCTTTTAGATCAAAGCGATTGAAGACCTTAAACAAAGCCTAAAGATACTCAGACTATTACACATTGCGAGCAGGCTTGTTTGAGGCGTGCTACAGGATTGTCAACAACACGGACCGATGGTCCAAACTGTAGATTCTGTTGGTCCGTTTTTTTAAAAATATCTGAGCCTGACTGCTGATGCTGGCTTTCTATCTTTCTGATTTGTTTTTTAAAGTAATCACCCCGCCTCTTCCCATATTAGTAATATTGTCAGACACGTTTTACATAATTGTGAAATTTTATTGAAAGGTTAAAAAATAAGGGCTGTCATGTACTTTTTTTTATTTACTTGGAAATCGCCTAAAATCCCCCAATAACACAAAGACTTAGACAGTTAATTTCATGTGCTTCTGACCCTCCCAGACCCGGTGTACTTGACACTGTTGTTGCGTGGGATATCCC